CCTCTGGCACTGGGGACCTTCCTGGAGCTGTGCAGGAGCCCAGGTGTGGTCACTGGTCACTCAGGGATGGTCTCTGGGTGTTTGGGGCCATGCTGTCCCAGATGTCCCCTGGCTCTGGCAGCAGAGCCTGTGCCTACCATGGCTGTCTCTGCCTTTGCCTTCTGCTGCCCTCAAGCAGCAAACCCTCCACGGGCTCTTCTCAGAGGGGTCAAAACTCTCAGATGTTGTTTACTGCAGAGCTTTCCCTGCTGGAAGAAGGAACAAGCACCGGCTTTTCCCAGGGCAAGGCTGCAGCTGAATACAAGGCTGAGATTCCCCCAGCTGCTCCCAGGGAATTGTGACACTGAAGCTGCCACCAGCATCCCCACCCCGGGTGTCAGCCCATGACCAGGATGGAGGGGGTTTGCAGACCCCACTGTGGATTTTGGGGTTTGGAGAACCCCCACTCTGGGGCTTGGCTCAGCTGTGGGAGCGGGCAGATGCCTCAGAGACAGTTCCCATTTCCTCCTTGCAGATATTTTTATATTATTATTATTATTTTGGTTGTTTCTTGAGGGGAAGCTGCAGCTGAGGAAATAGCAGCACATTCCTCCAGTCCCAGGAACTGTCTTGTTCCCGAGTGGAAAATTCATCCCTTTTGGAGGCTGCCCTGATGGATTGGCAAAGGCAGAGGATGAGGAGGGGATGAGCCACAGCAGCCTAAGGCAGTGGAGATCTTTGTCGTTCATGCAGGGGATGCCCTGGCTCTGGGAATCAGAGGAAACAGCCTCAAGTTGAGCCAGGGAAGGTGTAGGTTTGATATGAGGAAAAATTTCATCATGGAAGAGGTGGTCAGGCATGGGAACAGCTGCTCAGGGCAGTGGTGGAACCACCATCCCTGGAAATGTCCCAGTGTGGATGTGGCACCTGGGGACACCTTGGCAGTGCTGGGGAATGCTTGGGCTCGATGATCTCAGAGTAATCTCAGCGAGTCCATGGCTCTGTGGAGCACAGCTCTGCTTGGATCACCCCGGGCTCAGCGTTGTGTCCTCTCAAAATCCAGCCCTTGTGGTTCCTCAGCATCTGCTGTGTCAGCAGGAGGAAGCAAAAATCCAGATTTAAAAAGGGGCATGGGCACATTTATGGGTCCTTGTGCTCTGCAGATGTTTTGGTGTGATGTGGAGCTGCTTTGCTGTTTTCTCCCCTCCTATTTAATAAAAATTAAATAGGAAACTGCCTGTGTCTTGCCCTTTGTTTAAAGAAAAGAAAAAAGAAAAAAAAAAAGCACTTCCTGCATTTTCTATGGCTCTGAAGTTAATAACCCCAGACAGTGCAGGTAGCAGGCCTGCAGTTATTTTTATGGCACATTCCTGTGTCAGACCTGTTTTCAGTTGCTTCTCCCTTTGCCAAATTTTAATTATTTGGGGTGAAATTTTCCATGCTGGGTGCTGCTGGCTCCTTCCAAAACTGAACGTGTGGTTTGTGTTTGGACAAAAATTACTCATCTGTCTCTGGGAAGGCGTTTGGGGGAAGCAGGGTGGGAGTTTGGGTTTTTTTTTTTCCTTTTTTTTTTTTCTCAGGTAAACAAACAACTCTGCCCTTTTCCCTCTGGAGGGGGAAGGTGCATTGGGAGAGGTGCTGGGGTGAGCTCTTCCTGTGACCCCCAGGCAGAATTAGGGACCTCTCCCTTTGGGATGGGGTTCAGAGGGGGTGGCTGTGTCTGAATAAATAAAAAAATGCATGGATTGAATCCCTTTTCCCCCTGGGGAGGGCTGTGGCAGTGCTTTGGGGGTGTCCCCATCCCATCCATAGGAGCTGAAATGTCCGTGGATGCAAATCCAGGCGATTTGAATAATTGTTTCTAATCATAATTTAAGTGATCAGGCAGAAAGCCCATGCTTAAATCGTCTGAAATCTCATTTCACATTTTTATTGCTTTTAGTTATTTTGCTGTAACTGTTAAAATGTTGGGGTTTTTTTCCCAATATAGTGTAGCCCTCTTGATAAACATGGATTTCTCAGGTCAGTTCTACATCTGCTTGGACTCCTATTTTTTGACACGTTACCCTGTTAGGAGATGTTGACTGATACATTTCTTATTTATCACAATTCACTTTTTGCTTACAGCTCAAGTGGAGGAGCATATGGCCTGAAACCACATTCTGCTTGTGTGCATTTTCATTTAAAGGATATTTATTACCATTAGTTAAACAAAACTACCCTAAACACACCCAATATGTAGAAAAGCAACTTTAGGGAATAACATTTTGAATTGTAAATGATTTTATGGGGCAGATTGTGTGACATTCTCCAGCCTGTTCCAGCACCCCACATCCGGCCCCTCCACTCATCAGCAGATACAAATTCTGCTCCTCTCCTTTTTCAATTAGAAATTAGGAAATCACCAACATCAATTATTTGGGTAAGTGGGAGTGCAGGAGATTCTAAATGTGAGCACAGGAGATTTCTGTTCCCCTCCACAAAGATGTTACTTTGTTGGGAGCTGCTCTGACCCAGTTTGACACGTTCTGGTTAAACAGTGATTTCCAGCCTTTCACCCTTCCACTTCCTCATGGTATTTTAGTCCTCAAATGCCACTTTTTAGAATTTAGATGGAATGCTTTAGTTTAAATGGATTTTATTTTTGAATGAACAGGCTGGGAGAGCTGGGGGTGCTCACCTGGAG